AGCCATTGGACGTGAACATCGAAGGGCTTCAATCGGTGCATCATGCTGCGCAGGGTCCTGGTCCTAAGCAGGAGCCGATCGTCAAGGGCGGAAAAGGAAAAGGGAAGAAGGGGGAAAAGGGCGGTAAGGGCGGTAGCCCTTCCGGCCCACCACCAAAGTCAGGTGAAGTGCCAGGAAAAGGGTCTGGTAAGGGCGATAGTCCATCTGTCCCACAGGCAAAAGCGAAGGCTGATGCTGGGCCGGCTCCGATGGAGGTTGATGCAACTGTGGCTCAACCGAAGAAGACTTGGGTCGCGATGGTGATGGTGGTTGAAGGAGCCAGGCCGAGCGCAAAGGCTAAAATGACCCCGGTTCCAAAGGCCGAGCCAAAAGGGAAGGCCGCTTCAGTGTCTGAGGCGAAGAATGCTCCGGCTCCGAAGGCTGAGGCTAAGGAGACGAAGCAGGCCGAACCGAAGGTTGAGGTCAAGAAGGAGAAGGTAGGCGGAGACGACGCTCCTGGCGGTAGTCGGGGGTCGGCTGAAGGGCAGAAGAGAGAAAGGAAGTCCCGTTGGGATCCCGATGAGACTGTGAAGGAGTCGACAAAGCGGGAGGCGTCAACAAGGCCTGATGACGTCGACAGCAGACCAGGTGCGGCAGCGAGAGAAGCTAGTGGGGATGATCTTCACTCCGCGCTTGGCAGATCTTCGGCAAAGGACGCGGTAGCGCCTTTGACGGCCTCCAAGGCGATGGCAAAGAAGCCTGAAGGCGGTGAGATCAGGTTGCAGTCGGCTGAGCGAGCTGCGGCGAGCCCGGTGGAGGGTCACTTCCTGGTGCTGCCTGAGAGTTCGGTGGTGGACGCTCTCTTGTCAGTCTCCACCAACAGAGTGCTGAACAAGCAAGTCAGGGATTTCATCAGAAATGGTGAGGACGCGTCAGCACTGGAGGCTCTCTACCAGATCGTGACGAACTCTCGCTCTGGGAGGAGGCGTAGGGAATCGGACGTTTCCCGCACTCCTTCTCGGAGGTCCGTTAGGACCGTGGACACCAGGGATTCCAGAGAGTCGAGAAGGCGCAGATACCGTCCGCGGCGCGAGGATGATCGCGACCGGAGGAGGGACGATGCTCGTGATCGTCGTGATGATGATTCACTCGATCGGGAGCGAGATCGAAGGCGAGATGATCGCAGGAGATCCGAAAGGGATCGTGATAGGGACCGTGCGCGGGGCGGACGTGACCGGAGGAGACGTGACGATAGCCGGTAGGCTGAGTCACGAGGATTGCGGCCGATAGGCTTGCGTCCATTCTCCAATGGTCGGCGCGGTGCGGAGGTGGTGATGTTCCTCCCGGACCGCTGAGGCGCGGAGATCATGTCTCTCCCATACCGCTGCTGGGCTGCTGGTCGTGTTCATCAGGAAGCAGTGTGAGTGAGAGGGAAAGCAAACTGATGGGGGGTTACTCCCGGGTTTGCGGAATTCAAACATTTTTCAGGTACGCATGGTCAGGAGTACCTCTTGCCGATAGGCGAGGGTACTAATGGACATACGTTATCTTTTATTTCATGGCTTCTGATAAGAATTAAACTTCTTGCATTGTTGATGCAAACAGTTGTGACCTAGTGTCGTCATGTGGACCTTTCCACAAGGTATGTTGGACAGCGTTACCCCGATTAATTCGGGGTGGTGGCGGGAATTTAATGCCCGGGATGTCGCGCAACTGCCTTTGTGGGTTTGCTCCACCGCTGACGGCGGTAGTGTCCAGCTGTTTGCGGACGCATGCGAGCAGTTAAATCCTATCAGTAAATGGCACGCTCCACCCGTCATATGACGGGCTCCTCGTGAGGGGGGTGTGATTAGCCATGGTTAATATCATCATCAGGGACGTCGCGGTAGTGACCGACCTGTGGTGTTTGGCTCAAGTTTGCGGGTCCGTCGCGCCTCGGATGAGCGTCGCCGGGTCCCCGCGTCGATCACCTTCGTGTCGGTGGAGAAAGAGACATCGGCCCGGGGCAGATTGGTGGGGTCCGCCCGTGCGGTTCATCGTCGATCAAGGTTGCGGGTACTTGTTTACTTGTTTTGGTTTTTCCCTTTTGGTTGTTGTTCTCTGGTGTGTGGGAAACCCTGATCTTTGGGACCGGGGATTGGTTTGCTTTTGGGGAACCTTTCTTTTGTGGCTTGTTTACCCCAACTTACCCATTGCCTGGGCACAGGCTCGTGCCCGAATCACAAAAAGTATAGAAAGAGATGGTAATGACTACGATGATGATGATGATGATGATTATGATATTGATGACGAGGGTGACAAGGATGATGACTGTGATGACAATTGTCCAGCAGTCATCATGATAACCATGTAACCGTCCAGCAATCCTCATGATAATCATGTCCACGCATCTCTTGCATTTCAAATCGGCTGATAGTCATCATGACGCATCCTCAGCATCGCCAGCAGTCATCATGATAATCATGTCCACGCAGCTTTTGCATCTCAAGTCGCATGATAATCATCACGGCGCATCCTCAGCATCACCAGTAGTCATGATGATAATCATGACGACGCATCCTCTGCATCACCAGTGCTCTCTAACGCCACACTTGAAATGTATAGTATAGAATTTAAAAGTATAGAAAGAGATGGTGATGACTACGACGATGATGACGATGATATTGATGACGAGGGTGACAAGGATGATGACTGTGATGATAATTGTCCAGCAGTCATCATGATAACCATGTAACCGTCCAGCAACCCTTATGATAGTCATGTCCACGCATCTCTTGCATTTCAAATCGGCTGATAGTCATCATGACGCATCCTCAGCATCACCAGCAGTGATCATGATAATCATGTCCACGCATCTTTTGCATCTTAAGTCGCATGATAATCATCATGACGCATCCTCAGCATCACCAGTAGTCATGATGATAATCATGACGACGCATCCTCTGCATCACCAATGCTCTCTAACGCCACACTGAAATGTATAGTATAGAATTTAGAAGTATAGAAAGAGCTGGTGATGACTACGATGATGATGATGATGATGATCATGATGATATTGATGACGAGGGTGACAAGGATGATGACTGTGATGACAATTGTCCAGCAGTCATCATGATAATCATGCAACAACCGTCCAGCAATCCTCATGATAATCATGTCCACGCATCTCTTGCGTTTCAAATCAGCTCATAATCATCGTGACGCATCCTCAGCATCACCAGCAGTCATCGTGATAATCATGTCCACGCGACTTTTGCATCTCAAGTCGCATGATAATCATCATGACGCATCCTCAGCATCACCAGTAGTCATGATGATAAAGCCTGGCCGCGCGTTCTGGCCGCGCGTTCTAAGGTCCAACCTCCTCAGCATCTTTTGCATCTCAGGTCGCGTGATAATCATCGCGGCGCATCCTCAGCTACAGGGTGCCATCGAGGCGGCCGCTGTAGGGCCAAGCCGTAGGAAAGGCAAAGTGCTAGATACACGCGAAAAGAAGAATAGAAGAAGAGAAAACATAAAGTCTGAAAAAAGTCAGAAGAATATATGAAGACAAGTGTGAATGTGAAGAGAATGTGAAGCGTGACCTTTAGCCAAGCTTACGGCTCGCGCCTTAGACCTGGTCTTCCAGAATGCTCGTGCAGCGGATATTGATGATAAATCGGAAGATTAGCATCGTGACGCATCCTGAGCATCACCAGGAGTCAGCATGATAAGCATGTCCACACATCTTTTGCTTAGCGTAACATAAAGTATGAAGAAAGTCAGAAGAATATATAAAGACAAGTGTGAATGTGAAGAGAGTGTGAAGCGTGACCCGTAACCAAGCTTACGGGTCGCGCCTAAGACCTGGTCTTCCAGAATGCTCCTGCAGCGGATATGGATGATAAATCGGAAGGTTAGCATCATGACGCATCCTGAGCATCACCAGGAGTCATCATGATAAGCATCTCCACACATCTTTTGCTTAGCGTGTCCACGCGTTTTTTGCATCTCAAATCGGAGCTACAATTGAAGTCGAACAAACGAGATGATGATGACCATCATGATGACGATCTTGTTGCCACCCTTCCCGTGCGCCTTTTCTTAGGAGAAGGGGTCGGCGGAGTTTGTCTCTCTCACCGCTTATCGACTCGCCATTTGATTTTGCAGTTTGAGCTTCACGTGATCTGTGTTCAATTTAAAGGGGTTGGTGGTATTGATTTAAAAAACGGCCACAGCCAAACATTGGCGTTAGCGAAACGCAAAATGTATGTAGAAAGGCCTCAATCTTCAAAAACCGAAAAGTCAGCGACCAGCTAATCCCACAAAGATCTTCGCGCCAGCGTCTGCTTTGCGCACGCTCGTCGCCATTGCGCAGAAGTTGTAAGAGAGAAAAGGAGATTCAAACACACCCACAAGTACAAAAACAGGTCCAATGTCAGTGGAGCAGTGAACTGTCCCTAGATGCTTCACAGAACCCAGGTGAGTGTCACGTATGTTGTATGTGTTTTGCACGACTGTTCCATGAAGTGTCTCTGCGCTTTCATTGCGTTGTCCGTTCATGTCTATGCATGTGTTAGCTTTGCATATTTTATGCACGGTTGATTTTCTCTATGTGTTTCTTATGCACTTCCCCTTGATTTCTATGAATTGTCTATTCACTTGTTGAACAGCGCGTAAACAGTCCACAGACAAACATTGACAATTGTAGACCATCCATAGAACATTCACGGGACGTTTATGGACACTTCCCAAGAACGTCGCTAACATAGCTTCAGAAACTTGGTTTTGGCCAGCATCAAAACCACATGGGTTTGCTTTTGTCCTTGCTTTTACTTCCGCCTTTGGTTGATGTTTGATCCTTGGACCAGTTTCTCTCCTGGCTTTGCTCCCTCACGTTCTTTAAAAGCAACTTTTATCGTGTCTGCAGTTGTCACCTGGTAGACTGTCCGGAAGTATTTTCAAAGAACATGTCATCGCCTCTTGTTGTTCTTTTTCTCAAGGAAACATTGTTATCTTCGCATTTGCTTTGTGTCAAGTGGCATGGGTCCTTACAAAAAATGAACATAGGGGTTGTTGGTTAACATCCTCGCCGACATGCTCAGCGGTGCTCAGCTGGTGCTCAGCTGCTCGGCCGTGTTCAGCCGTGTTCAGCCGTGTTCAGCCGGTGCTCGGTGCTCAGCTTCTCAGCCTTCAGCCGGTGCACGGCCCTCAGTGTGCTCAGCCGTGTGCTCAGCCGTGCTCAGCTGCTCGGCTCAGCCGGCATTACGCAGCCCGAGGGAGAGCGATGTGTGTATATTTACATGTTTGGGCCGTTGCTCGTTTGGGCTTATCTTGTCGTTTCCCAGCGCAGGCTGTTGCTCTCAGGTGTTCAAGGGTGAGGTAACGAGGATCATCCTGTACTGCTACAAGGACTGAACCAAACGTAGGATTGCGGTTGTGATACTGTGGATGGACTGAAAATCATCACTGTAGGGTTTCTTAGGTGGCGCAGGATTTCGTCCATCCACTGTAGGTAGTTTGAGCGCCCCACATGGTCACTTGCATGGTCAGTCTAGATGCGGAGTTTTGCGACGCGCAGCATTTTTTTCCTGAAGAACCGCATCACGCCCACCGTCAAGATGCTGCAGAGTAAGCTTCGCGAGTGTCAGCGCTTTTCGGAGGCGCGGCGAAGTCATGGGACATTTGTCCTGCCAGTTGCCGGTTTCGGAATCTAGCAAGGCGTTTGCTGCAACGCTTTTAGCCATCAAAGAATCCAGGGCTCCGCTTTTTGACTACTGCAGATTAGATGGACTTCAACTGGGGTGGTTCGGGGTGAAGTCTATCTTGGGGCAGTCAAGAAGTAGAACCCTGCGTCAGCCAAGGGCTTTTTTGCTCCAGGCCTTGCCATCATGTGCTTGAGGAGCAAATCAGTGCAATTCTTCAAGTGTGTGCTCGAGATGCAACTTGGCAGAAGGGCTTTTTGTTTTGCTAGGGTTCAGTAGGCGATAAAATGATCCGGTTTTGGAGCTTCAACGTGCGCAAATTTTATGCCTGCGCAGTTGAGACAGAGAGACAGAAAGAGACAGAGAGACAGAGACGGAGACAGGAAGAGACACAGAGGCTGAGACGGAGACAGAGAGCGACAAAGCAGAAAGCAGGAGGACTTGGAGAGCGGCCCATGGGGCATGTGTTTTGATGGTAGACTGGACCTCTGCGTCCCATTTCTGCAGGTCTTCGCACCTGCTACAAAGCTTTGTACGGAGATGTCTGGGATATACTGGATTAGGAGAAAGAACCCGGCGCCGAGAACTTGGTTGTGGAGTATGTGGGCGCCGAGAATATGGTTGTGGTGTATGTGGACACACTTAGTACCTGTCTTCCGGGTGTGGTTGATCGACACGGAGAAGAATGCTGGCAAGGAGCAGCAGCGAAGTGCCCTGAGTCAGGGGTAGAAATGCATGGTAGTGGCGCGCAGTGTGAAGACACTGCTTTGTCGGGAGCTTCACCAATCTGGTCGATGCTTGAGTGCTCGCATTGGGTCAGTCCAATCGAAAACCAACGGGCAAGCTGCTTGTTTTGTAGGATTTCTTGGCGGAAGTGTGCCTTTTCTTGGCCAACGCTGACCAGACGTAGTGAGAGCAACTGTAGTCACAGCCAGCACTTTTGGTCTTGGCACGGGCAGGGAGGGTGTCCAAAACCATGCTTGTTGAGGGCTCCTAAAACTCTACAGGGGACCCCCAGAATGTGTTACCTAGAATGTACACTTTCTGGGACCCTCCAAACAACTGAAGCACACATGTGTTCGCCCATATCTTTGCTTGCTCTCATCCTGTCAGGGAAAGAGAGATAGACACGGACAGAGACAGTCAGAGACAAGAGACAGACAGAAAGAGACAGAGTCATCAGAGACACTCTGTGCTTTGGGTTCTAGTTGCAGCGCCTTTGTCTCATGTCTATGCGCGAAAGTAGCGCCCAAAATGCATGTTGCAGGCGGCGCAGAAAGTGCTGTTTTGAAGGGGCGTCGAAAGTATGATCTGCTTTCTTGCAAATGTAAGTAGACAAGCGTCAGGCATCTGCCCCTCATGCCTTCGCAATGCACAGGCAGGGCCAATCTGTGCAGGTTCATCCGTGTGCGGGACAGGTAGATTAGATGGACGGATGGGGGTGGTTGGTTGGTTGGTTGGTTGGTTGGCTGGCTGGCTGGCTGGTTGGTTGGTTGGTTGGTTGGTTGGTTTGGGTTGGTTGGGTGGTTGGTTGGTTGGTTGGTTGGTGGTCAGCCAGGTACGCGGCCAGCGCGTTGCGCATGGACTAGCTTGGGAAGCTTGGCCCAAGGTTGCTGCATATTTGCAGTGTTTTGAGCCTCCCCCGAACTCAAGCAATGATGCACGAAACGCGCAAGGGGTCGCCAGCTCCGGCCGTCGGAAGGCAGAGGCCGGATGTGCGGGCTACGCCCGACCCCCTTTACGAATTATGTCGTTTGCCAAGTGAGGCCGCGCTTCCAAAATGGCTGTGTGAGACGGAGCAGCCTTGCGACGACATGATGATGTGCTTTGTTGCCAACCCTCCAGCTCACGCTGACACGGATCGAAGCCCGCAAAGAGAGTAGCGGGCCCGGCAGCAAGCTCGGAAGTGCCCGAAAAGGAAGCGACCGCAAAAGGAGCGAACCATGAAGCGACCGAAAATAGACCGAACAATGAAGCTTGAAACGCGCTCAAAATCACAGTGGCGCGGAGTGCAAAAAGCGACGGAAGAAGGACCGAAAAATACCAGCGAGGGTGCGAGGCGGCAGCTTCGACACCCGCCAAAAGAGCAGGCTCCAATCACGCAAAAAGTGGCTTAGGCAAGACCGAAGCATGAAGCGCGGAGGGTGCCCAAACGGCAGCTTCTAAGAAAGCAGCCAGGGCCCGGCAGGAAGCACCAAATCTTGCAAGTTGCGAGCAGCCGGCAGCAACCAGGCAAGGCACAGCCAGGGCGCGGCAGCGCAGGCAAGCTTCGAAACCCGCTAAGAGAGTAGGTCTCGGAAGTTGCCAGCAGCTGGCAGCAACCAGGCACGGCGCGGCGGCCTCTCACCTATATCTTGCTCCTGTGTAGGTTGCTCAGGATTTGTGTCTTGATTGCACACGCACCTTGCGGCAAATGTATTTTGGATGCGCACGTGATGCAACAGTGTGTTGCACGTGTGCTTGTTTGTGTGCGTGTGTACCTCCATGTTGTGGGGTGTACGTGTGTCTTTGCGAGAAGAAGGAGGAGAAGAAGAAGAAGAGGCAAAGCGGTGTCAAAAGAAGAGGGAAAGGAAAAACAAGTGGTGGACATCGCGCCGCCAAGTTTAGTCAGACATCTTTGCGGGCGCGTGCGCGAAACCAGACATGTTGCTGGCAGACGATTTCAGCTGGTTTTGATGCGCTCAGGGACTTTTCAAACGGGGGATTTTAGATGTGAGATCCGACCAGAAGTTACGGCCTCAGCTCAGGCACCAATGCTCTACCACATTCAGCCTCCCATGCGCGGCGAGCAACCTGTCATCGTCCTTGCCAAAAGCCCAATCTGGTTTCAAGGCTTTGTCAACCAAGAGGACACGGGTTTGATTGCCAGCGTTAATGCAAGGGAGAGAAGCAGGGCTTTTCGCGTTTGTTCTAGAACGCTACCTGCAGGAAGAGCAACAGCCGCAGAACACAAATGATGACGCCGTTGACAAGGCTCATCAAGGGGTCCGCGCTTGGCTGTGTGTGCAACAAAGGTTTTTTCCACAGGGAGAAGCGTGCAGCTTGGCTTCAGCTCTTTGGGATTCCTCTTTGGAAGCCACGGGCGCCGTGATTTAGCGATCCTGTTTCTGGATTGCTTGGCCCATGTTTCTCCGTTTTTATTTCAGGCTCTTCTGGGCCCTCAGGGCTTCCAGGACCCGGAGGTCGTGAAGGCAGGCGCATCTGGATTTGACTCAAATCCGAGTCGACAGAAAAGTCGTTGATCAGGTAACCTCCAATGACCCCATATTACCAAAATCCTGTTTTTGTGGGTGTTTTTGTGCGTGTTCTCTAACCTCACCAAAAGCAGGGACACCCCCTATGAGTAAACTGGGGTTGATGAATTTGAGGCCACCATGCTTTTCCCAGTTCCCGCGGATTGGTCCTCAGATCGCCGTTGGTGATGAAACACCGATCACCCTCCAAACCACAAACCAGAGGGAAGCTGATAGTGCTTGCTTGACAAGTCCGCGCATAACATCCCTGGATAAGGTTACGTGATCATGTGGGGGCCAGGAATATTGAGCAACCCTCAACATGAGTGAATGCGGCTCTGTGACGCGGCGCGTGCTGAGGTGTTCCAGCAGATGCTGCAGGATGAGAATTTGTTGCTGCCGCGCCAGGCTGGTCATGTTTCTGATGTCTTGGAAGCGGGGGTTGGTGAATCGGGCCCCGGCACCTTTGCCGAGTGGGATAGCCCCAATTATCATCATCCACCCCAAATGCAGCTTTCAGTCTTTTTCCAGGGCTCTGCAGCACACATCGCCGCCCGAGGTCTCCGAAGCTGCGTCGAAGTTGCAGCAGAAAGTGCAGCCTTTCTGGCACGTTTCGACCCTGGAGCTGGAGCTTATGTTGCGCGCAACCTGGATGGCACATCACGCTTCGTCAGATGGTGTTTGTTTTTAGAGTCTAAGGAAGCGTTTTTGACAAAAGACTCATGAACGCCCCGTGTGGTTCTGTATCTTGTCAACCCTTTTGCAAAGGACGCTATGAGCAAGAAGCTTCTCAAGTCTTGGGCTGATGGAATGCGCCCTGTCATTCATCGAAAGACGCTTGGCGTGCGCTGCCTTTGTTTTCTGATTGATGTCCCCTCTTCTTACTCGCCTTCTTTTTTTCCTGCTTCTTGAAACTTAGGTGTTCGAGGCGGCCGGCAGGGTTTGTTTTTGCTTCACTGGCAAGGCGTTTTTGTGACCTGCGCCACAATCGAAACCCGCGTAGACCGGTAGGGTGTCTTCCCAACAAAACCAGCCCGAAAGCAATTCTAAGCCCATGCCAAACCAATCCTGATCCCTTTGCCAGCCCGCAATCCCCTGGCCATTTTGCGTGCATTGGCTGAGGATGCGTGATGGCTAGAAACACATTTTCTGACTGGCTCGCCATCTCAGTAGCCTTTTGGCTTTTTAGGGTGAGGTGAGGATTTCCATTCTCCATCTAGCAACCTAAAAGTTAAACTTTCAGCAGGGATCTGAGAGCAGCCTAGTTTTTTCAGGCCCATTGTTACTTTCAATTCCGATTGTGGGCTCTTTCTCACAAGTCATATCCGGCCTACGAGGAATGCGAAACCTATGCCTATCGGCCCGCTGGCCCCGGGTGCCTGCAATGCAAACAACATTGGACTTGTGCGCGCAGAGGCGCTTGATGGGACCATGATTTGACGAGTCGAGCAGTCTTTGACGCCTGCGCAATAACCAAGTTCCAGATAGCATGCAGACTTGCCAAACGAAGCGGATAAAGGGAGAATGGTGTGCGGCGCCTGCTGGTCGAAATTGCCAACCAATGAACCAAGCTCTGCTATGGCATTGTCGCACTTGCGCGGGCAACCAAGCAAAGACACTTTTTTGTGGAGTGGAGCGCCGGTTTGCAAGTCACCGCGTGGCTACTTGCAGGCTCAGAATTTTGAGTGAGGATGAATGCGGCGAAGTTTCGTGAGATTTGGCCGGTTACTTGTCACGAACTGGCTGGGAGGCTTCCATCAATGGCAGCCAGGCGGGAAGGGTTTGCCCTGTTCCAGCTTGGGACGGGTGGATTTTTTCATCGTGTGTCATAATGTGGATGGCCATCAATCTTTTCATGCGGGCTTGTGACCATTTCTAGAGCGGAACCTCAGCATGCCCCTAAGAGTTTTGACTATGGCAAGTCGAAAAAAATCAAGGCACACAAGGATGTTACCCCGAAGCATCCAAGAGAGGACCTCTCCTCAAAGGCAGAAGCGCGGGAGACGCTTACAGGTACAAGGAAGTCCTCGACAACACATCCCATGAATGGGTCAACTACTTCAAGAACACGCTGACAAATGCTTCCTGAAGGGAACGGCCAACGTGTATCTGTACCGAGCCAGAACTCGGAGTTGCTCACACTCACATCAAATGTCGATGACATTTATTAGATTCGGTGCGCGCCTTGTATCCCAGCAAAACTAAGCTAAAGCGTCAGATTTAGTTATTGCTGAAGGCGTTCACAGATTTGTAGCCAGTTGAGCTACCAGGCAAAAGACTAGCAAACATTGTGTGTAAAGCGTGGAAGGTACGAACGCTACTGCGATGGCTTGACTCACACGAAACGCGGGGGCTTGCAAGCGAACGTAGGGCACCAGCGGTTGACTCGCAACATTTGGCCCCGCGCAATGAAGGATTTTGATTTCTTTGTCGCGCTGGACGCAGTTCCCTTTCAAAGACAGTTTCAGTGATTTCAGACTTTGAATTTGATAATTTGACGGCGGCCGCCGCGCCGCGCCGCGCCTTTGAAGCTTGAGACGCACAGGCCACTGGTGGTTTTTTGATCCGGCGGCCGCTCCATTGGATGACATCTTAAAGAAGAAGGGCCTTGAGCCGAAATGGCTGTGGGGAGAGCGAAGCAAAAGCAAAAACGGTGGGGGGGCCTGCGGACGTGAATCACGTATGCCCCCCCCCAAGCCCCCCCGCCCACCTTTCACGTTTGATTGGCCAGTTGCTTTGGCAGATCTTTGCGTTTGTTCGAGGCGGTTTGGGCTTTCGGTTTTGCATTTTGTCTTAGCCTGTGGTTTGCAGGGAGACATAAAAGTAGACATCCTGGGAGGTGGCCTCCCCCCCAAATGCCGGGTTTTGCTTGATTTGAGCGCGCAGGCTGTAGGGTTCAATCTATATTATGCCCGTATGTGATCCTGTTCCCAAGATGAACGATTTGTGGACACTTTTGGGAGCAATCTTGGACCCAGGAGTGGTATTCTTCAATTCTAAATACCGGCATTCAGAGTTCTTGAGACCCGCCCAAGATCCAAGACGGCTGGGGGAGTTTTGGAGGCAACCTTGGGGTCCAAGTCCTGGATCTTGGAATTTGGTTTCAGGCTAGGGTCTAAATACCGGTTCGGTATCTAGATTTCAGGAGTAGGGCTCATGAATCCACAAATCTTGGAATCTGGCTACAAGCATTCAGATTTCCGGGAGGGGGGAGAAGAGTCAAAGGGATGAAGAGACATATGGAGAAGACAGAGACAGAGGCAGAGACTGAAAGGAGAGGCGAGGCAGCCATAGAGAGAGAGAGAGACTATGTGAAAGAAGATAGAGAGAGTGAGAAAGAGATGGACAAAGGGAGATAATTACGGAAAGTCCACCACACATTTTCGATCTTGGATCTTGGATCCAGGGTCTACATATGGGTATTTAGAAAACTAAATGCCAGCCAGATAAACAGTATCACTCATCGATCCCCGAGATGGCTCCGAAAAGTCTCCACAAATCTTGGATCTTGGATCTTGGATCCAGAGTCTAAATATGGGCATTTACAAAATTCATCGATCCCCGAGATGGCTCCCAAACCTCCACAAATCTTGGATCTTGGATCTGGAATCTAAATAACCGTATTTACAAAATAGATTTCAGGGTGGACAACATATATAGATCCAAGATTTTCCGCCAAATCTTGGATGCGCCAAATCTTGGATCTTGGAACTTGGATTCAGGGTCTAAACACAGGTATTTATACATCTAAAATTCCGGTTTCTAGATTTGAAGAGGGTCACTCATGGATCTAAGATTGCTCCTTAAAAGTTTCCACGCATCTTGGATCTTGCATCCAGGGTCCAAATACGGGTGGGAATCTCAGTCTTGACAAATGGTATCCTGCCCTTCTCCGTTCCCATGATGTTGCATTTTTGTTTGTTCAACATCCCGAAACAAGTGGCTACAATTTAGAGAAATGGGGGCATGAACATCTACATATGGTCCAGCCCCCCAGCCCACACACCAAATTCCCCTCCCCCAACTGGGCATGGTGGGTGGGTCTGGTTGAAATGAACTGAGGGTTGGGTTAGGGTTGATTGATAGCTTGCGCAGTGTGGAAGGTTGATTTGGGATGCTCTAGGGAACGCCTTGCCCGCCCTGTGGAGTGGTTTTAGGGCTAGCTTGCGTTTGGTTTAGTCTTAGTTGACTTGCTTGCTCATCAAAGGAAGTGGGTGGTACGGACACTAGTTGAACGCTAGCTCTCTGACAGTGGAAGAGGATACTATCATGTGACTACAATAGTTTGCTCAGTGTCATCGCTACTTTCACGTGGTTTGATCCCAAGGCCGACTTCTTAGTTGACTTTTTTCCGGGCGCTCAAAAGGCATTCGCCTTCGTGCTCTGTTAAAAAGGCTGGTGATGCTGGGGTGTCGACCGCTTTACTCAACAGAGACCGTCCAAAGCCTACCGAGTCACGTTGAGCTCAAAAGTGCAATTTTCCCCACTCGCAGTGCACATATTTTTTGATGCCGCCACGTGATTCTCAAAAGTCGAGTTTGGACACTGCGACATCTACTTTTAGACGGCCGAAAAATTATTTACTGTAAAAACTGGCGGCGCTGAGCAATCGCTGCGGATGCTGGGGGTGCTGACCACTTTTGCTCGCGGTCTATCGCGACATCTACTTTGGGTAAGCAGAAGTATTTCCTTCACAACATCACTGGTGATGCTGCGGCTGTCGACCAACGAAGACGGTCCAAATCAGCAGACCGAGTCACGTCCAGCTTGAAAAGTGCAAGTTTCCTCATTCTTCGTGCAGAGAATTTGGATGCCGCCGATCGACTCTCAAAAGTCGAGTTTGGGAAACCACTGTTTTTAGATAGCTGAAAAACATTTCTTCTTCTCAACCCCCTTCAGCTTTCGGACTATCGCGACATCTACTTGTAGGGAGCGGACTGTAGTTTCCTTTGCTCCAGCACCCGTGCTGCTCGGGGTGTCAATCACTTTTGCTTGTGGACTGTCGCGCATCTACTTTTTGTTAGTGGAATAGTCTTTTTTTAAACATATTATTCAAAGACTGGTGATGATGGGGGTGTTGACCATTTTAGCTCACGGACAAGAGCGACATCGACTTTGGTCCGCGAAGAACGTTTTTTTTCAACATTGAGTTTCGCTGAAATGAAAAGCAAGTTCTGCTCGCTCAGTCAGAGCTGAGTTTTGAACGAAATTGAGCAGCTTCTCAGCACTTTGTTTAACTTTTTTGTGTCTTCTTTGTGATATCTCGACAATCTGTGTTTCCACATGGCAACGGAAAGACGGCTCCCTTTCGAACAAACCACATTGAAGTAGCGAAATCATTCGGAGACTTATGCGCTGGTGACCGCTGGTGATGCAGGAGGCATCGACCACTTTAGTCAACAAAGACCGTCGCAAGCAGCGCGTCATGCCGGGCTCGGCAGCGCAGTTTCGTTTTTCATCTACTTTTTAACAATAAGTATTCTCCCGCACCTTGCCGCACGTGTGCTTTCCCGTCTCGAGTTTCCGCAAGGGGGGCTGGAGGGTGCAGGGCCAGGTTCACCCTAGTATACCTTTTAATACACACGCTGAGCCTTCATTTGTTCCACATGATGACTACTTGCCAAAAAAGTGCAGGCTGAATCTGAGCTTTCTACGGAGCTCCTTGGCAGAAACACGTGCCAAAGGGCAAGTCCGCCTCATAGATGCCCAGTTATTATGCAAACGAAGGGCGGTACGACGCAAGCTCATCAAATGAAGGCAGTGAACGCATGTTACGCGCTTCATGTACTAAGCGCGTCGATGTATTCTGGCAATGGAGCGGAGTGCAATATCTAGCAAGACAGGGTACTGTATTTCAATTGTGTGCCACATTACCTTCAGATTTGCATCTCAACCCGTAGACAAAAGAACCTGTATGCTCAGCATATTTTGATGAACGCGATTGACGCCCTCCCTGCCTGTGGTCTAAACCCCGATGCGTTTTTTGCGCCTTGGCCATCGTGCCCTGGTCACTTGCTTTGCACAAGGAACGATAAGGACAACGAGGCAGGCTTCAGCTGCCCTTGGAAACACATTGACGCAGGTACGGAGATTTGGGTTCCTTGACTTGTCTTGCGTATGGCTGTGGGTCAAAAATCGGTACCCCAAATGGAACCCTGGTAATGGAAAAAAAGGTCCCCTTGTGGTTTAATTTTGACCCATACCCATATGGCGCAGTTGCCATTTTGAACAAACCCTCCTTGCTCCGCACAGGCTCGAAAGGATGTGACAGACTTGCTCACGGAGCTGGTGTTGGCGTTTCGTGGCAGTCGGTGCGCTGTGCGGGGTACATGCTGCACCTGCTTTAATGCGACCCCCCCCCTTCGACACTAAACCGATCTTCTGGACCCTCGTATTGCCAATTCTACTTTTGTATTGCCAAGGCCCCCGTTCAGATTTTGCTTACGTTAGTATTGCCAATTCAAGGCCTTCTCACAGATTCCCAGTACTTACTTTGTATTGCCAATGCTACTTTTGTACTGCACTTTTGGTATTGCCAAGGCCAGTTTTCCAACAACTTCTTGCGGGAACGCCCCTTGTGCGAATGTTTGCCCTTATTTTTTTGTTAAGAAATTATATTAAAATTGATAGTTTGCGGACCACTGGCAAAATGGCTTTCCTTGATCCAAAGCCTTGACCCGTTGAGCTGGGGAGAGCTTGGTTGAACCGCCCTTGGAATGTAAGAGGCTAAGGCTTTAATTTGAGAATTTCAGCAACCCCCCCCAACCATTAAAGGACCGGATAACCCCACATGCTATGTTTTTCCCAAATGTCCACACACATGTACCGTGCGCCCCTTGTATGGATGCGATTACAGAGCACCCAGATGCACAGAATGCAGCGCCTGCCACGACTTCGGCAACGGCATCGCCAAAGTGCTGCGCCTGCCACGATTTCGCAACGGCATCGCCAAAGTGCTGCGCCTGCCACGATTTCGCACACCCCCCGCCGCGCGCGCGACAACATCCTGTCCCTCTAGACAGCTGCCGAATGCGACCCCTGCCACACAAACACACACCCAGATGCACAGAATGCTGCGCCTGCCACGACTTCGGCAACGGCATCGCCAAAGTGCTGCGCCTGCCACAATTTCGCAACGGCATCGCCAAAGTGCTGCGCCTGCCACGATTTCGCACACCCCCCGCCGCGCGCGCGACAACATCCTGTCCCTCTAGACAGCTGCCGAATGCGACCCCTGCCACACAAACACACACCCAGATGCACAGAATGCTGCGCCTGCCACGACTTCGGCAACGGCATCGCCAAAGTGCTGCGCCTGCCACGATTTCGCAACGGCATCGCCAAAGTGCTGCGCCTGCCACGATTTCGCACACCCCCCGCCGCGCGCGCGACAACATCCTGTCCCTCTAGACAGCTGCCGAATGCGACCCCTGCCACACAAACACACACCCAGATGCACAGAATGCTGCGCCTGCCACGACTTCGGCAACGGCATCCGCCAAAGTGCTGCGCCTGCCACGATTTCGCAACGGCATCGCCAAAGTGCTGCGCCTGCCACGATTTCGCACACCCCCCGCCGCGCGCGCGACAACATCCTGTCCCTCTAGACAGCTGCCGAATGCGACCCCTGCCACACAAACACACACCCAGATGCACAGAATGCTGCGGCATCGCCAAAGTGCTGCGCCTGCCACGATTTCGCAACGGCATCGCCAAAGTGCTGCGCCTGCCACGATTTCGCACGCCCCCCGCCGCGCGCGCGACAACATCCTGTCCCTCTAGACAGCTGCCGAATGCGACCCCTGCCACACAAACACACACCCAGATGCACAGAATGCTGCGCCTGCCACGACTTCGGCAACGGCATCGCCAAAGTGCTGCGCCTGCCACGATTTCGCAACGGCATCGCCAAAGTGCTGCGCCTGCCACGATTTCGCACGCCCCCCGCCGCGCGCGCGACAACATCCTGTCCCTCTAGACAGCTGCCGAATGCGACCCCTGCCACACAAACACACACCCAGATGCACAGAATGCTGCGCCTGCCACGACTTCGGCAACGGCATCGCCAAAGTGCTGCGCCTGCCACGATTTCGCAACGGCATCGCCAAAGTGCTGCGCCTGCCACGATTTCGCACACCCCCCGCCGCGCGCGCGACAACATCCTGTCCCTCTAGACAGCTGCCGAATGCGACCCCTGCCACACAAACACACACCCAGATGCACAGAATGCTGCGCCTGCCACGACTTCGGCAACGGCATCGCCAAAGTGCTGCGCCTGCCACGATTTCGCAACGGCATCGCCAAAGTGCTGCGCCTGCCACGATTTCGCACACCCCCCGCCGCGCGCGCGACAACATCCTGTCCCTCTAGACAGCTGCCGAATGCGACCCCTGCCACACAAACACACACCCAGATGCACAGAATGCTGCGCCTGCCACGACTTCGGCAACGGCATCGCCAAAGTGCTGCGCCTGCCACGATTTCGCAACGGCATCGCCAAAGTGCTGCGCCTGCCACGATTTCGCACGCCCCCCGCCGCGCGCGCGACAACATCCTGTCCCTCTAGACAGCTGCCGAACGACCCCTGCCACACACACACCCAGATGCACAGAATGCTGCGCCTGCCACGACTTCGGCAACGGCATCGCCAAAGTGCTGCGCCTGCCACGATTTCGCAACGGCATCGCCAAAGTGCTGCGCCTGCCACGATTTCGCACGCCCCCCGCCGCGCGCGCGACAACATCCTGTCCCTCTAGACAGCTGCCGAATGCGACCCCTGCCACACAAACACACACCCAGATGCACAGAATGCTGCGCCTGCCACGACTTCGGCAACGGCATCGCCAAAGTGCTGCGCCTGCCACGATTTCGCAACGGCATCGCCAAAGTGCTGCGCCTGCCACGATTTCGCACGCCCCCCGCCGCGCGCGCGACAACATCCTGTCCCTCTAGACAGCTGCCGAATGCGACCCCTGCCACACAAACACACACCCAGATGCACAGAATGCTGCGCCTGCCACGACTTCGGCAACGGCATCGCCAAAGTGCTGCGCCTGCCACGATTTCGCAACGGCATCGCCAAAGTGCTGCGCCTGCCACGATTTCGCACGCCCCCCGCCGCGCGCGCGACAACATCCTGTCCCTCTAGACAGCTGCCGTGAGTCAGCGAGTGTGAGTGAGTGAGTGAGCGAGTGAGTGAGTGAGTGAGTGAGTGATGAGAGTGAGTGAATGAGAGTGAGTGTGAGTGAGTGAGTGTGAGTGAGCGTGAGTGAGTGAGTGAGTGAGTGAGTGAGTGAGTGTGAGTGAGTGTGAGTGAGTGAGTGTGAGTGAGTGTGAGTGAGTGAGTGTGAGTGAGTGTGAGTGACTGAGTGTGAGTGAGTGAGTGTGAGTGAGTGAGTGTGAGTTGAGTGAGTGTAAGTGAGTGAGTGAGAGTGAGTGAGTGAGTGAGTGAGTGAGTGAGTGAGTGAGTGAGTGAGTGAGACGGAGACGAGCGGGAGGAGGAGGAGACGCGGCGCGCGGACGACGAGCGGAAAAAGTAAGAACCCCACACAAAGATGTGGGGAAAAACAAAAGCTGGACACTAAAGAGGACCCCAAAACAGTCGCATTAAAACGGGATCACGGCCCCTTGTGGGCAACCCCCTTTGTGTGACTGTTTGCGCGTACTTTTGTGTGAAGAAGTTATCTTAAATTTGATGGTTTGTGAACCATTTCAAAAAAGGAATTCATAATGTTTGCCCGGATTCTTTTGCCAGACTTCTTTGGCTAGTTGTTTTTGCTCCGGATGTTTCCTGGCGTTTCTTTTTGGGGACTTCTTTTTTAGGAAGAACTTGCCACAATAGAGGACCCTAAAACAGTCCAACAATCCAGAATCAGGGAAAACTTTACGCAATATAGGCCACTGCCATTCAAGTGTGTCCAACATGATGTGAAGATGTTTGAAGGCCATCGCTTGGGTAGCGGGAGAAGCTGTGTCATCTTGGGGGGCTTCGCTTGCCTCCGCGTTCTGTTGTGGTGGCGGAGCCGGCTGGAGACTGGCGCAGGGACCTCGTGAACGCCCTAGACATCCTCACTGGCAAGATCATGTTTGAGGGAAAGGGCAGTGAGCAGCCCTCGGAGAATGCCTAGCAAGGCGGACTCCCATGTTCCAGTTGTCAGCAACCTGCAGAAGCACTACAGGCAAGTTCGCGGGTTGCCAATAAAATAGGCGTCTGGTGGGTGACGTGGAGATGGTCGACCTCCAGAAGCGCGTCACATCTGTTTGGATGCAAGCCGGGCCGGATGACGGACCCAGGAGTACCAGTCTGAGTTCAGCTGGAGGTGCGCAAGCTTTGGGCATCTCATCAGGTGGAGCTTCCGATGACGCAGAGCGCCTCAACCTTGAGTCCTGGGGCAGCTCCCGCGAACCACGCCAACTGGTCTGAATATCAGAGGTGCTGCCGTGCGTTGCCTGCTCTCTCCCCCCGATGTGAAGAACGCATCGCGTTCTTGGGCCCATATCGGCTCAGATGCGGAGGGCCGTCCTAAGAACTTGCACCGCGTGGCTACGCGCGTGGAAAAGACTGCTTGGGTAGCGGCAGTGGACTTTGTCATCTAGGAGGGCTTCGCTTGCCTCCGAGTTCTTGTTGCATCGCATTTCATGAAGCTTTGTGTTGCACTTTGCATCTATAGTAAGACAAGTTGAACTTGACGACCAGCTGTTCGGGTTCAAAGTTTGAGGTGTTGGCAAGGAGTTCCTCGCAGCCCCCACGTAGCCCCCGCGTAGCTTCCAAGGTCTGGTTATGAAACACATGGATGCCTATGAACATAGAGGCATCATCAGGGCCACCTGGGGGCAACACTAGCCAAAACGCAAGAGCAGGCACGACAAAAGCCAGCGGTTCAGGACAGGAGCAGATCCCATGAATATTCTCCATTCTTACTCCCTGCTCTAGGCTGCAATACTGAATTGTTCTTGGCCAGTGCTTGTAATACTAGTGCTGCCAGGACACCTCAAGCTACGTGGACATGAGAGGTTGCCGTCGGGCTCCTGTCCTGAGGTTTCCTAGTGGCCTGCGCTTCTCAACGCTCAAGGACAGCATAGAGCAGAAGCGGCAGAGAGGCTTGCAACAACAAATGCTGCTATGCTGAGTAATTCTAATCACGTGGGTCGGGAAGCCTCAAGCCTGGTCTTGCTCTTCTTGTCACAAGTTGGGAACCCAGTCTTTGCGTGGATTTGCAAGCTGGTTTGTGGAAAAGCAACAGGGTCAGCTCTTTGCCAGAGCGACATGAGGAGCATTTGCGGACTTGCAATGATGGACTCTTCAGTGAGACGTCCTTTACTTGCCCAGCTGCGACTTGGCAGAGCGCCCATCCAGAGGTTTGACGGGCGAGGCCGTCGTCGATTTTGTGCCAAGCCGCCAAGGCCAAGAATTGGACGGAGAAGGTGAATGGTCTCAGCAGTATGTTTGCAGGCGTGGACGCACTGTGCTGGGAGAAGGCCTCGCAATTAAAGGAAAGTCATTTCCACACTACGACCTTCTGGCAAGGATGTGTAATATTCTTTGAGAGAATATAAGTGAGATGACTTCTGAAAACTCTGGCCTCCCTGGGGTGACATATCATTTGTGCACCATGAAATCGGATCATTTGCACAGCGCCGCAGCATCGGGTTTTCTTCGGGGTTGTAAGCCTAAACCTGAGGACCATAAACCTAGCAGCCCCAGACCCTTCTTAGGCCACCTGAAGCCCTCTTGCGCAGGTCTCGCGTTCTCGCGCGGCCATCCACAAGCCCGATACATGGGGATGCGTTTTGTTGAAAGCCACCCTTGGGGGTTAGAAGGAGGAGCAAAGGGAACCGCAGTTTTTGGGGTCCCTTACTTTCAGACACACAGCAGAACTACAACGAGAAGCCCAAAGCACCAATTCAAAGTGAACTCAAAACCCCACGGAGGTCTCGTGCTGACATCAAACGAACATCACAAACGTAAAACTGGGCTTCGCGCCCAAAACCGAAACCCGAAGCCTAAACTTTAAACTGTTTAACCCTAAACCTAATCCAACATATAACAAGCGCAAGCCAGAAAAGACTACAATCCCTGAGCCTAAGCCCCAAACCTAAGCCCTAAGCCAATAATTCTAAACTTGAAGACCCCAAGCCGACGATCTTATCCTCTCCTGAAACGAATAGCAAGACTTGGGTGTGTCTTTTGGAAGGTTGGAACCCCAAACATGGTGGTTTCCCCTGTGGTTTTCCCTTGGAAACCCAATTAAACTGGCAAGACATACCCAGCTTTCAACCACACAGCCGTGTCGTCCCACTCTGTAGGTACACCCCCGGGGCTGTCGAAAGCCGGAAAGGGAGTCATCGCCGCTCGTCAAGAGCCTGGTTGAAATGATGGTCGAAGCCAGACAGTTTGTTGGTATTTAACTGCGGAATCGAATCATTCCAGGGTTTCTTGGGAGGTGCAAGACTAAGGTTGCGAAATCCATTTCGCACCCCGCGACACGGATGCCATGGTTGAAGCCACGTTTGTTACGGTATTTAGAATCTAATCATTTCGTTTGGTTGCTTAAAGGTGGTCATGGATTTCGTCCTTCCACTCATCTTAGGGGGATAAACGAGGATGGCACGGTTTTGATTTGCAACGTTGCAACGTTGAAGGCTCTAAAAAGTTTACCAGACTTAAGATTTCAGATTTTCTTCGGCTTGGGCGGGACTTTGTGATTCATTCTTTTTCACAATCTTCCTCAGGTCTCGGACTTGGCAAGGACATTTCTCATTTGTGGCATACAGGCCATACCCCTTACACCCACCTTCTTTTCGGGTATGACGTCGACCCTCTACTAAAAAAGGAGGTGTTTAAAAAAGTAGCTATTTACCCTGGAAAACCAGGTTTTCCCAGAAAAAAACCCTAGAAACAGCGGGTATTGGGCGTAGGGGGTAGACTGATTCAATTCGTGCCAAGGGCCCGTCGCGTATTCGTGCTCCAGGCAGGCTGAGCTGAGTGTGCGATTTGTGGCAAATGAGTTTGTCTCAACAGAGCAAATGGGTTTGTCTCAAAAGAGGTGGACCCTGAAATGGTTAGCAACTCGGAGTGGCCGTTGCAATTGAGAGACTTGTTTGTTTTCTCCACTGCAAGTGTTCACACTGATCATTGTGGTGGAGTGTGCTGCTTTGTGTTGAGTTTTCCACATTGATGGTAGGGTTGCTCAGTGTAAGCCGTTCCCGAGCTTGCCCTTTCCGCTTCCTAAAGGCAGTCCGCCGGAGCTCACGGGGCCCATTGCAAGGTCCACGGTCATCGGAGTGAGGCTGCGCATGTGGAAGGACTCGCAGGTGTCGCCTTGCTGGAAGGCGTGCAGTCTTTTGCGCCTGGTGTTTTTTGTTGGACAAGAACTCTCAGGAAGGGCAGGTCTATTTAGTACCGAGTCAACAAAAAGTAGGAGAACGACGTTGCTTGTCTCCTGTTGTGTGCCAGCAGTGTGGCGAGTTGCTCTACTGTCGCTTGCAAACCTGAGGGCAGTTGTAGGTCACGATAGGTCACGTTTGCTTACATTCGCTGCTTGGTATTGATGTTTAGGGGTGGAGGATCAATGCGATCCCTTTACCTCGGCAATTCAAGGCTGTCGCGTTGAGAAGCGCGCCGATTTTAAAGGGGGAATCTGAGGACATGTTGATGGGTTCTTGGACAGGGCAAGACATTTCAGCAACACAGCGTGTCCAGAACCCGGGCAACATGATCCGGGTTGCGTTGCTTCGCGACTTGCTGGGTGTCATCATGGGCACCAGCCACGTGTTCGCCATGCTCCAGGTGCCACATTTGGTTTGGCCGAACACATTGCCCTGCGAAGAAATGATGGGCACGTTGAAAACCGCCCGTGAGAATTGTTTGTGCTGGATTCCCGGGGCACATTATTGTTTGCATGTGAGGCGATGGCAAGGCTTTGGGCGGGTGCTTTCTTGCACACCCCTGCTGTGAATGGCTCTGACGAGGCTGACAAGCCCATTGTGGCTTGTGAAGCCAGTCTTCCTTGAAAAGTAGCAAAGCCGACATTTGTGCAGTGCTTGCAGGGTGTCACAAGCCAGTGGCATATAGGCCATATAGGACATCCAATGTTTTTGGGTAGACCAGATTGGCCGTTCCCAACGGTGAAGTCGAGCCAAGAAACGAGTTCAGGGCCTTCTGTTGCCCTCGCGCTTCGCTCTGGCTTGGGCAGCCTCGGGATTGCGGCTTGCTCAAAAAACCAGCCGCGGAGCCGCCTGTGCACGGGAATTGACACCTGACAGGGCTCAGCTGTCAAGCCTGCGTGGCACGCAATGGTCCAAAGCAGAATGAGGCCCGATGCCGAGCCCTGATGAACAAAATTGCCCTGGTTGTCAGTGCGCAGTTCATGCGACCGCACTAACCATTGGGAATCCGCGAAATTTGATGAAGGGAAGAAGGAAAAGATACAAAGAATTTGAGTTTGGATATTGATTTCATAGATACATTATTGATTCTGAACAATGTATTTATTTTTAATCCATAATTTACAATATGATGTAATACAATTATGTTTACAATATAAATGATGTTTTATACTTTGATACACATCATATTTGTTTGACTGTTTATTTCCAGTAGAGCCGGCAAAGCCGGTGGGCGGAAGATTCGAACATATACACTATTTATCTTTTTCTCTTTCTTGATTTAATGTTTCTTCTCGATTTAATTGTTCTTCATTCTTTCCTTCTTTTCTTTTCATGATTTCTTTTGTTTCTATCTTCCTTTATGTTTTTCTTTCTTCCTTTCTTCCTTCCTTCTATTTCTTTGTGTCTTGTCTTTCCTTCTTTCTTTCTTTCTTTATTTCTTTCTTTCTTTCTTTCTTTCTTTCTTTCTCTCTCTATCCACCTATATATCTCTCTATCACCTACCTACCTACCTACCTACGTACCTACCTACCTACCTACCTACCTGGTACCTCTATCTATCTATCTATCTATCTAATCTAATCTAATCTAATCTAATCTAATCTAATCTAATCTATCTATCTATCTATCTATCTATCTATTTGTGTATCTATGTGTTGTTATTATGTGTGACACATTGATTTGACGAATGAATCTTTTGATCGATCAAACCCGCACCTGTGTGGAGTCAATGACAATCCAAACCTGGGAGGGCAGACATATGCTAACGTTCAACTTGGAACAAGTTCATTCCTGTTGAATGTCGCATCGCATCTGGCGATGCAAGTGCACGGTGTGCGCCATTTCCTCAGACTGGAGCTTTTTTTGGCTTTTTGGTGGGATGTTTCCGCGGAATTTCAGTGAGGGAACGCCTTGCTATTTTGGATGGTATGCGCACGACGTGTCGTGTGGAGGATATTTGTTTGGGCCCGTTTGTTTGTTACGAGAGCAATATCGTCCAATACAGACTGCAGACACTGGAGGACCAGCTTTTGAGCGGCAACAGCTGCTTCTTTCCCTTAAATCGACACAGATCTCGGCAGCGTTTCCAGCACAGAACGCAGATTTGGATTGGGCGGGACAGTGCGCCAGGATACGCATGTCCAGTCATTGCAGTTAAAGAGCTTCTGAATTCTGCCGAGGCAGCAAAGGTGCTCCGACACCAGCGGCACGCTGGTATTTGTTGCACACCTATCCAAAGCCACGTCAGCATGCGTTCGCCAACTGATCTATGAAGTATCAGGTGTTTTCGAAATTGCACTGTTCCAACGCAACACAGGCTGCCAAGTTATAGCAAAGAGATGATGGATCCGCCGCTGGTATCATAGGGGCATTTCTTATCTCTTTTCTCTCTCAATTTTCTCTCTTAATTTTCTCTCTCTTTTCTCTCTCAATTCTCTCTCTCTCTCTCTCTCTCTGTTTCTCTCTCTTTTCTCCCTCTTTGTTTCTCTCTCTCTCTCTCTCTCTTTGATCTCTCTCTCTCTCTCTCTTCTCTTCTCTTCTCTTCTCTTCTCTTCTCTTATCTTCTCTTCTCTTCTCTTCTCTTCTCTTCTCTTCTCTTCTCTTCTCTTCTCTCTCTCTCTCTCTTTTCTCTTTTCTTTGTTTTGTTTTTCTCTCTCTCTCTCTCTCTTTGATCTCCCTCTCTCTCCTCTCCTCTCCTCTCCTCTCCTCTCTTCTCTTCTCTTCTCTTCTCTTCTCTTCTCTTCTCTTCTCTTCTCTTCTCTTCTCTTCTCTTCTCTTCTCTTGTCTCTCTCTCTCTCTCTCTCTTTTCTCTTTTCTTTGTTTTGTTTTTCTCTCTCTCTCTCTCTCCTCTCCTCTCCTCTCCTCTCCTCTCCTCTCCTCTCCTCTCTTCTCTTCTCTTCTCTTCTCTTCTCTTCTCTTCTCTTCTCTTCTCTTCTCTTCTCTTCTCTTCTCTTCTTTTTTCTTGTTTTTTCCCATTTTTTTCCTTCTCTTCTCTTCTCCCTCTCTCTCTCTCTCTCTCTCTTTCTCTCTCTCTCTATCTATTTTCTTCATCTTTTTTTTTTCCTCTCTCTCTCTCTCTGATCTCTCTCTCTCTCTCTATCTATTTTCTTCATCTTTTTTTTTCTCTCTCTCTCTCTCTGATCTCTCTCTCTCTGATCTCTCTCTCTCTCTCTCCCTCTCTCTCTCTCTCTCAAAAGCCCCCCCCCCCATTGCCTTCATCTTGAGATTCCCCGTAAAAAGACGCGTCTTTGCCTCCGCTTCGCCTAGCTAAAAAAAACTTCGAACAAAGAGGGTGGATACATACATTACGTTCGTTACATGCATACATACATGCCTACCTACATACATTACCTTACCTTACCTTACATTACATTACACTACATTACGTTACATTACATTACACTACATTACATTACATTACATACATGCCTGAGCATGGCGAAGCGGAGGCGGAGCTGTGGCAAAGTGGTGAAGACCTGCTTCCCTGTAAGCTTCGCACTGCTTAGGACCTACACCCCTTCTTTGTCCCCCCCCTTCCCCCCTAAGCGCCCCCCTCAGGCCCCCTTGAGCTTCTCCAGCCCCCTTTTCGATCCACCCTTAAGCTCCCCTCGCTACGGCAGATGGAGCCTGAATGTAGCCTGAATGAAGTTGTCACCCTTGTGACGTCACAAGCGCTTCGACACATCTGAAAGACGAGCATTGCTGTGAGCAACGAAGTGCCTTCAATCATGGATGCCTGCTGTCGATCTGCAGGAGCAACGCCGTGTGTCAATCGCACGAGCAGATGCGAGCCGGTGAGCCTGTCTTGGAACGCGCGCTCTGCGCGCGCATTTCTGTTGCCTCCGCCCTTCCTCCATGGTGCGAATCACGGAGTGGTCCGCGGCGCCGTGGGTCCACGCGGCAGGACGCAGCGGCGCTGGATCCACAAACGCTGCATGGGCCCGGCTCCAACGCAGCCGCAAAATCCTTTTGCAGGCACGAGTCGGATTATTGAAAACCTGTCTTCGGTTGTTCCAAAAGTTTGGCTGGATGCATTTTTGGTTTGATTTTGTGCCACTTATGTGGCAAGGTTGGAAATCGCGCGCCTCCTCTTGTTTTTCAATCCGCACAGGCCAAAACTTTGAGCCAAAGCTGGAGCCGGGATGCGGTCGCCGTCCTGCGTGGTCACATTTCCCACAACGTCGGCCAGGCAGTGGCTTCATGGAAAACCCACGCTGGGCAACACGCCTGTTTGGGGACGAACATCACTAAGCGTCCACCCTTTCCACATTTCAATCAGACACGGCGCTGTTTTGAAGCACGGTTTTTGAACGAATTGACCGTCGCGTAATCATTCGTTTCTCACCGTAACATGTCCATCTTTAACTCAACCAAGGCAAATATAGAAATGCCTTTGCTGCCCTGCTTTCGCGCCATAGTTCAAACAAAGAACCAGATAAGATGTCATCAGACGGAGAAGGCTTTATGAAAGATACACAAGCGCAGGCCTTTCGATCAGCGGCGCGGAACAAACGCCGAATTTATTGATGACCTGCGAAGTTGCTGCCGTCGTGCGATGGAAGGGTCAGCGGGTTCAGATCTTAGGAACTTATTGAGAACGTTGGGGCCTTTTCTCAAGTGCAGACTTCCTGTTGAGGCGACGCACTCATGTGTCGCGAGCTAATTAAGCCCAGAAACCCGTACACAAAAGGCCGAAGATCGTGAATGCCTTTCAGAGTTCTTAAAACATTAGACATTTAAACAAATTCGAAAGAAGATTCTAGAAGTGAAGCAAACAAATAAATCCATCCAAGAAGTTACTTGCAACTTGAAAGTTTTTGCCAGCCGTGAAACCCCACATGTGACAATTTCCAGAGACGATTTTGTGCGTGACTTCACGCAGGCAGATGCAGAGAAAACGTGGGTCCCAGTTACAGTGTCGCAAAATGACAACTAAGTGGCAGAAACTTATGGCAAGAAATTTCTGGGCACTTTGTTAGAAGAAACCCTTCAAGAGGAGCTGCGGCATGGTTTTGGCGTTAGCACTGGAAGCAAAATGACAGATCGTTGAAAGGCACAGATCGTTGAAAGGCATCAATCTCTGGCAAAGCCCCACTTCAAGCCCCCTTTGCTCATGGCTTGCTTAGTAAGAGAAGACTGGTCACCGCTTGACGGGTTGTGACCCAGATAAGCTTCCGCATGATCCAAAGTGTGTGCCCGATTGGGGCGGGTGCATTTGCTTATTGGCGTGTGACAAGTAAGAACTCTGTGATAGTGCCAATGTCAATCTCTGAAAGCCTTTCTTG